TTCTTTCTTTCTTTCTTTCTTTCTTTCTTTCTTTCTTTCTTTCTTTCTTTTTTGGACAGAAAGTAGGATTTCTTGGTGGGCATGAATAGGAAGAGGGCAATACCAAGTTTTTCTTGAGTGCAGACCCTACCATTTGTCCAAGGGGCTATGATTAGGGATATATTTGATCCCATAGCCATCTGGGATGAGCCACTTTTCAGCCAGCTACCATGCCTTCAAATTCACCTGCATTAAACTTAGTAAAGTCCAACTTCTTGGAAATGCGGATCTTCTGGTGGCCAGAGAACTTGAACTTGGCCCCTTGTAGGACCTCATTCACATGCTCCTTGTTCTGCAGCTTGGTACGATGGACATGATGGCTTGGCCAGTGTGGACCCTGTCCATTCTGCCCAGGGGCTTTCGAAAGGCACTCCATATACCTGTCTGGAGCTTAGATTGTAGCTAGCATGATCACCCTTCTTTTCTAATTGAGTTTTTTATTTTTGTTCTTGGGAACTAATCTAGAGTATATTTTCTTTTAATACTCATTGCTTCTGTGTAATCTAGAGATTTTAGTTTTCTCTACTGTGGCAGGAATTTGGTTCTTATTTTATCCAGGTTTCAGAGGTGATAAATTAATTTCTACACTTCATTTTCTTTAGTTTAAATTGAAGGACCAGGCTGGATTGATCTGTAAGACTTGTTCAAGCATTAAATTCACATACTCCTTTTAAATTAATTGTGTATTTTCTTCTTTTCCCAAAGTAGGGTTATTTTTAATACCAGCATTTATTAACACATAGCTCTTCCAAATTTAGGTTAGCATTTGATTTTTCATTGAAGCCATACCCAAGTTAGTTATACATACCCAATCTAGACTAGAAAGTTTTAGAATACAATGATAAAAATGTGGTCTTTTGAAGAAAGTAGTTTAGAATTAATGCATTGATGGTTCAGATAGTTGTATGGCACATAAAGTTCTTGATCATTAAATTTGTTAGTGAGAATTGAAATGAACAGATCTTCATAATGACAGTCTTAGTTTTCACTCCTGATGTCCAAAATAATATATCATCTGATGTGTACCTTTTTTTTTTTATTTTTTTTTTTCCAACGTTTATTTATTTTTGGGACAGAGAGAGACAGAGCATGAACGGGGGAGGGGCAGAGAGAGAGGGAGACACAGAATCGGAAACAGGCTCCAGGCTCTGAGCCATCAGCCCAGAGCCCGACGCGGGGCTCGAACTCCCGGACCGCGAGATCGTGACCTGGCTGAAGTCAGACGCTTAACCGACTGCGCCACCCAGGCGCCCCTGATGTGTACCTTTTTATAGATGATAATAATACTTGGCAGTTTTTGATTACCTTACAAATTTTTAGCGTGTGGTTGTAATCATGAAGATAGGAATATAAAATCTTGCCAAACAAATGCAAGCTCTTAATGTCTTTTCCTCTCTGGAGCCAGTATAGAGAAGGGGAGGATTCATAGCCTTAGGAAAAATGAAGGGTTGTAGCTTTTGGCACTTTTTGGAAAGAGAGGTTTGGGAAGACAATAAACCTCACAGTTAGGGGATTGCAGCAATTATAATCATAATGGGTTCTGTTAGAATGTGTCTGTCACCCCTTAGAATGCTCCAGAGAGCAGTCCATAGGATTACTCTTTGGAGCTTATTAGGTATAGTCCTGACTGTTATTAAAAGTGGCCAAACTGGGCATCTGGGTGGCTCAGTGCATTAAGCTTTTGATTCTTGATTTCAGCTCAGGTCATGGTATCATAGTTTTTGGGTTTGAGCCCAATGTCTGGTTCTGTGCTGATAGTGTGGAGCCTACTTGGGATTATTTCTCCCTCTCTCTCTGTCCCTCCCCTGCTGGTGTGTACTTGAGGGCTCTCTCTCTCTCTCTCTTTCTCTCCCTGGGAAAAAAAAAAAAAGTTGCCAAGCATTCAGAAGCTTGACTACCTGTACACAAGCAAATCATGAGTACTGTTGACCCTTCAATAACGCAAGGGTTAGGGGCACCAACCCTCTCCTCTAGCCCTGCACAGTAAGAAAACTTTTGACTCCCTAAAAAAATAATAGCCTTACCAATAACATAAATAGTCAATTATCATATATTTTAAATATTATATGTATTATATACTATATTTTTATAATAAAAAAGCTAGAGGAAAGAACATTTTATTAAGAAAATTAAAAAGAAGAGAAAATACATTTATAATACTATACTATATTTATTGAAAAGAAAATGTATAAGTGGACCTGCACATTTCAAACCCATGTTGTTCAAGGATCAGTAGTATTTTTATTTTATTTTTATTGAAGTATAGTTTTAAGTATAGTTGTAATACACAATGTTGCATCCATTGCATCCATTTCAGGTGTACAACATAGTGATTTGACAACTCTAGATGTTACACCATGCTTACCACAAGTGTGGCTACCATCTATCACCATTCAATACTGTTACAGTACCATTGACTTTATTCCCTATGCTGTCCGTTTTATCCTTGTGACTTACTCATTTCATAACTGGAAGCTTGTATCTCCCACTCCTCTTTACCCAAATTGCCCTTCCTATCCAACAGCCTCCCTCTGGCAACCATCACTTTGTTCTCTGTGTTAATGCGTCTCTTTCTGCCTTTTGTTTTTTTAGATTCCACATGTAAGTGAAGTCTTCTGGTATTTGTCTTTCTGTGCCTGACTTATTTCACTTAGCATAATACCATCTAGGTCCATCCACATTGTCGCAGATGACAAGATCTTACTCTTTTGTATGGTTGAGCAATATTGTATGCATCTTACTTGTTCATTCATCTTTTGATGGACACTTGGGTTGCTTTTATATCTTGGCTATTGTAAATAGTGCTGCTCCTAAACTTAGGAGTGCCTATTTTTAAATTAGTGTTTTTGTTTTCTTTGAGTAAATACCCAGTGGTAGAATTAACTGGATCATATGGTATTTCTGTTTTTAGTTTTCTAAGGAGCCTCCATACTGTTTTCCATAGTGGCTGTACCAGTTTGCTTTCCCATTACATGACAGTTCTTTTCTCTCCATATCCTTGTCAACCCTTGTTATTTCTTATCTTTTTGTTTCTAGCCATTGTGACAGGTATAAGGTGATGTGCTTTTAAAAGACATCATTAAATGACATTCAGGCACATATTTTCAAATAAAACTTTTGTTCTTAAAATCTGTCTGCTGCATTAAAACTGAATCGTATCAAACCAGCAATTGCACTACTAGGTATTTACCCAAAGAATATAAAAATACTAATTCAAAGGGATACTTGCATGTTTATACAATTTACAATGCATGTTTATAGCAGCATTACCTACAATAGCCAAATTATGGAAACAGCCCAAGTATACATCAACTGATAAATGGATACAATATGTGGTGTGTGTGTGTGTGTGTGTGTGTGTGTGTGTGTATACACATACAATGGGATATTATTCAGCCATAAAAAAAAAATGAAATCTTGTCATTTGCAAAGACATGGATGGAGCTAGAGAGTATGCTATGTGAAGTAAGTTAGAGAAAGATCAGTATCATTTGATTTCACTCATATGTGGAATTTAAGAAACAAAACAAGTGAACAAGAAGGGAAAAAAAGGGAGAAAAGCAAACCAAGAAACACACTGTTAACTATAGAGAACAAATTGATGCTTAGTGGGGATGGGTTAAATAGGTGATGGAGATTAAGGAATGCCCTTGTGATGAGCAAGAGGTGTTTTATGGGAGTATTCAATATCTATATATGTGCACCTGAAACTAATATTACACTGCATGTTAACTAGCTAGAAGTTAAATACAAACTTTAAGAAAAATGAAATTAAAAAATTTTTTGAAAAATGGAATTGTAGCATATTTCTTTTAATTTAGGGGCTATTTGGCTATGCTTTGGACACTTATGACCAAAGAGATAATGCTTTGTTTTAAATGAGCCCTTTCTTCTAAAGTGGGTGGAGTGAGGGTAAGAATATAAAAAGGGGAATGTCTCAGAGTCTCTTGCCAACACACTATTGGTATATGATTTTTCTGCTCTTAGACTTTGCTCCAACAATGACATTATTTTATTTAATGGAAATTTTTAAGAAGCTCATGAAACAAAATGGAAAATTTGAGTCCCTACTGTTAAATTTGTTAAAAAGAAATTTATATTTTTGCTCAGTTTTTATTGACATATTTTTAAATGCTTATATTATACTTGTTTTTATTTTGACTGACAGCATCTCTCAGCAGCTTGCTTATTACACCGTTTCCCTCTCCCAACTCCTCACTTACCCGAAGTTGTGCCAGCAGTTACCAGCGACGTTGGCGACGCAGCCAAACAACAAGTTTGGAGAATGGGGTATTTCCTAGATGGTAAGTTGGAATCTTCACTTTATAATAAAGTAATAAAATTGAATAGTTCCTTAAACACAGTTCTGAAGGCTCTTTTTGTTTTGTTTTTGTTTTTGTTTTTGAGCCTGGGCTTGTATTTTGTGTATTTTAAGCCTTGAAACTTTTAAAATATAATATATTTTAAATTCAAATTTTAAGTTTTAACCAGTATTAGGCATACAGTTCAGTGTACCTTCACAGTGTTTTGCACCCATCATCACTCTTCATGGTTGGAACTTTTTTATCCCCCCAAAATGTACCCATTAAACAGTTAACTCCCTGTTCCTCCTTCCCCTTAGCATCCTGTCATCCTCTGTCGATTTTTTTTTTTTTTTTTTTTTTTTTTTTTTTTTTTTTTTTTTTTTTTTTTTTTTTTGTCTCTTTCAATTTGACTACTATAGATACCTCATATAAGTGGAATCATACAATATTTGTCTTTTTATGTGTGGCTGATTTCATTCAGCATGTCTTTAAGGTTCATCTATGTTGTAGAATGTATCAGGATTTTATTTCTTTTTATGGCTGAATGATATTCCATTGTATGTATGTATTACATTTTGTTTATTCACTTATCTGTTGATGGACTTTTGGGTGGCTTCCACCTTTTGGTTTTTGCAAGTAATGCTGATATGAACATATGTGTATAAATACCTGTTTGAGTCCCTGCTTTCAATTTTGGGGGTGGGTATACCCAGAAGTGGAATTTTCGGGTAATATGGTAATTCTTTGAATATGCTTTTGAAGAAATGTCATACTGTTTTCTACAGTTGCCATTTTACATTTTTGCCAGTAAGTAGTTAGTTTTCTGTTTTTTTGATAATAGCCATCCTAATGGATGTGAAGTGGTATCTTATTGTGGTTTTGATTTGCATTTCTCTAATGCAGTAATATTCCCTAATATTCCCTAATGGTTAGTGATATTGAGTATATTTTTATGTGCTTATTGGCCATGTGTCTGTCTTTTGGAGAAATATCTATACAAGTGGTTTGCCCATTTTTTAATTAGGTTGTTTTGTTGTTGTTGAAGTGTAGGAGTTCTTTATATATTCTAATATTATTCCCTTATGAGACATATGGTTGGCAGTAATTTCTCCCATTCCATGGGTGGCCTTTTCATTCTGATATACAGTAGTTTTTAATTTTATGTAGTCCAGTTTATCTTTTTTCTTTTGTTGTCTGTATTTTTGGTGTCATACCCAAGAAATAAATGCCAAATTCAGTGTCATAAATCTTTTACCCTATGTTTTTTCCTAAAAGTTTTATAATTGTAACTCTTCTGTTTAGGTGTTTGTTCAGTGTACTCCATGTTTTGATATTTCAGTTTTTCATGTTTCTAATTAGACAAGTTAATTCATTCTTGAAAGATTTTTTTTTAAGCCTATGTCAAGTACAGCTTAGATTAAACCGTAGTATAAAATTAATGTACGTAGTACAACGTAGATTAAATAAAGTTTCTTGTTTTCTGTTTTAGTTACTCCCTTTAGTCCTTGATTTTTTTAAATTTTACTCTTGAAATCAGAAGGAGATACAAGTAGATCGTAGAACAGTGAATTATATAAATGACTCTGGTCATTTATAACCTTAAAATTAAGGCATTTTAGGTGGATTATGAATTGGGAATTAACTCCTTTTTTTTAGTGACTTCTAACTAAACAAAAATGTTCCCAATATGACTCTCTGTTAAAATTTTTTATAAAAATGTGAGTATGAAGGAATAGCCAGTAGATTTTTCACAGACAGTTGAGATACATTTTTAGATTTACTTGATAAAACAGCAGAAGACCTTTAGCTTGTATACATTAAATTAGCAAGGAGATGAAATTGTGAATTTAATTATTATTTTTTTTATATTAAAAAAAAAAAACATTTATTTTTAAGGTCTATAGAAGAAAGCTTTAATCTGTCAGATGAAAGCTGTGGCCCTAATCCAGGAATTGTGAGGAAAAAGAAGATTGCAATTGGGGTAATCTTTTCATTATCCAAAGATGAAGATGAAAATAACAAATTTAATGAATTCTTTTTTTCACATTTTCCTCTCTTTGAAAGCCACATGAACAAACTAAAGAGTGCAATAGAACAGGTAAGCATAGTCATGTTGCTGGTTTGTTAATGTCCTTTATTTTCCTCTGAATCTTACTCTCCTGGTTTAGTATTATGTTTATTCATCTGGCAGAAAAACTAACAGCCATGGTGCAAGTACCCTACCAAGTGCTCTGGAGATGCAATATAGACTTCAACTGTTATTAAGGACCTTACTGCCTAATAAATGGTATAAAGTCATTCATTCATTCATTCATTTAATAAATGTTTGAGGGCCCATAATGTGGCAAGCAGTAATCTAGTAACTGAAGATAATATGGGGAAAAAGGAGCACTCTTGATCTCATGAGATAGCAAATAAATTAATAGGTAAGATTTTTAATGATAAATACCGTGGAGAAAAATAAAACAGGTTTATAAGGAATGTTGGGTGGAGTTATTGCTCATTTTTTATTGGCTAGTCATGAAGGCTCCTGATAAAATGACATTTGATCCAGAGATATGGAAGAAGTGAGATAGAACTATCTGAGGGAAAAATTTCCCAGGCAGGGGCAAAGGCTTTGTGTCAAGAGTAATCTTGATGCTTGAGCAAAGTAAGGAGGCCAAAGTGGCCGGGTTAGAAGTAAGATCAGATTATGTAGGGACTTTTAGGATATCATTGTAAGAGCACTGACATTTACTCTTAAGAAAGATGGGAAACTATTGGAGTTTCAAGCAGAGGAATGACATTATTTATGAGGATTACTCTTATTGCTGGTGGAGAATAGATTTCTAGGGTCAAACGTGGATGTTGCAGTTAGGAGTTTGTTGCAGTGATCCAGGTGAGAGATGGCAGGTACACCAAATTAGTGATGGAATTGGTGAGCAGTGGTTGGATTCTGGATATGTTTTGAAAATTGAGCTAATGAAATTAGCTGATTGACTGAATTAGCTTATGTATGAGAAAGAGAGCAGTTGGCTTGAGATTTTTCATTTAAGCAGTAAGAAGGATGGAGTTGCTAGTACTAAAATGGGAAAGATTAAGATGGAACAGTTTCGGTGGAGGAAAGTCAGCTGATTGAAATGCCTCCTGGACATTATATGAGTCTAGAGTTTAGGAGAAAGCTCCAGGGTAGACTGTCATCAGTGTATGGATGATCTTTAAAGCCGTGAAACTGAGGGATTAAAAAAAAGTAAAGGAGATCCTAGACTTGATTTGTGTAGCATTTCACCAGTTAAAATCTGAAGAGTTGAGAAAACCCACAGAAGAAACGGGATTGGCCATTCAAGTAATAAGAAGAAACAAGATAGAGTACTTTTTTAGGGGGAGCCAAGTGAAGGAAGTGTTTTAAGAAGGTAGGACTGATCATTTGTATCTCATGCTGCTGCTAGTGTGTATGATAAATTTGTATAAAGTAAGAAAATTGTGAATACAAGATAGAACATAAGAATAACTAAAAAAGAAAGACAAGCAAAGTTGTTAGGAGTCCATAGGAAAGAAAAATTATTTCCTGTTGAGAAGATGTTTCATTTGGACTACATCTTAAAGCATGTTTATGATTTTTAAACATAAAGTTTTGAAAATTGGATATCGTAGAATAGCAAGAAAAATAGATATACTTGCCACCCAAAAATAACTATGTAACCTTTTGCTCAAAGTCTTACCCAGGCTATTTCTATATATATTGTACTTTTACTTGATTGGTATTGTTATGTGTACATGTTCTTTTTGTTATGTACATATTTTAAAATACCCATCATTGTAGGGGTGCCTGGGTGGTTCAGTTGGTTGAATGTCTGACTCTTGATTTTGGCTCAGGTGATGATCTCATGGGTTCATGAGATCAAGCCCTGCATTGGGCTCTGTGCTGATAGTGAGGAGCCTCCTTGAGATTGTCTCTCTCCCTTTCTCCATGCCCCTCTCCTGCATGTGTGTGTGCATGCATGCTCACTCTCTCAAAATAAATAAACATTTAAAAAATTTAAAAAAAAACAACTCATCATTGTAACATACATATTTCTCATGTCATTATAAATCATTGTTAAATATATTTTAGTGGATTTCCTTGAGTAACAATATTTCTATTAGGTTATTTCTTCTTTTTCACAATATAACTACACTGTAGTTAACATCTTGGTGAATTTTTGGAAGACATTCCCAGGAAGTTAAACTAATATATCAGTGGATATAATTAAATTATTAATCCCTTTGATGGTATGTGGAACTAACCACCACTACCACACCAACCAGCCATGGATGGTATGGCTGCAGAATTAACGGAAACCAGATCTCAAAGAATGCTTGCCATAAGTTTTGACTTTGTTATTAAAGCTATCTCCAAATTGTGCTTTAGAATATTAATTTACCAGTATGTTTTTTAAAAGAGAGTGGAATAAGAGGCTGTAGAGGGGAAGACCAGTAAGAATGATCTAGAAAGCAGAGGATGCATTTCAGTAACTTATCAATGACTGAGGCTCATCTGCCTCTAGAGAGTACACTGATGTTTGTTATTCACATGAAGTCTGTCAACTTACTTTTTCAGAAGTTAGACCTTGGTGGCATTTTCTTCAGTTGGCTGCTGTCCCTTTTTTAAAGTATGTTGTTGCCAGAGTCTGTACACATACATAATATTTAGTTGTGGCTGAACTGACATTTTGGGTTACAGGGAAAATTGTGAAGTTTTGTATAAAACTTGATATATTCAGTCAATATAGAACTCATTAAAGATTACTTTTTAAATGTTTTAATGTTTTGACCATTTTATAACCTAAAGGTATACATTGCAGTACTTACAGTTGTTTGGATATTTGTTCAAGTTTAACATCTTATTTCTTATTATAGCTAAAAGGTAAAGCTTAATGAATGAATACCTTTATGTAAGGTTTTGTCTCTGGGCACTTTGAGAATTATTTTGAAGCCTGTGCTACCTTTTGAGATCTGTAATGTAATCTTAATACTGTACTGCTGGTAAAATTAATAACAGTGTTCAATTCTAGCTAAAGAATATTCACTTTTTTATAAATTGGGAATCTGTCAACAGTTTGTGAAAACATAAGTAAGTTTTACTTAGTTTTTGGGTATACGTGAACATGATTTCTGACCTTAAAGTAGTCTGATTTCTTAAAAAGATGTTTAAAATTTCTTAAATTGATTTTTAATCATAAAAGTGATGCAGAAGTACATTCCCTTTGAAAAAGCCTAAAAAATTACAAGGTTATTTTTGACATCTGTATCCTAATCCGGATCCCCTTTTTGTTCACCTAAAGCAAGGCCTCTCAACCTTGGCTAAATACGTTTTAAGAAAGCAAATATTACTAATAACTTGTGATATCTTTCAATAGAATCTTGATGTTCTAGGTTTTATAAAAGGTTTACTTAACAAGCCATTATCTGTGAAATATTAGAGGAAGCCATGAGCTGTTGTTACTGAGTTATCATTGTATCTTGTTCTGTTTGTTAAAAAAAAAAAGTAGTTTTATATAATACAGAAACTGTCAATATCATTTTCTCTTTGTATTGATATTCTTTCATTTGACAGTTAGAGTAAAAGATTTAACATTAGAAAATTTTGAATTTTGTTATAATTGTTAATGATCAAGGGTACGTACAGTAAAGCCACTGTAAATATATGTGCCTTCTTTACATCTTTCTAGATAAGGTTGATGGAAAAGTGTTGTGGAAATAAGTGACTTTGTCTTTCACTTTTATTTCTTCAGTATTTTGCCTGTGATCAGTATAAGAATTAACTATTTCATTACTTTCAAGGCTATGAAAATGAGCCGGAGATCTGCTGATGCCAGTCAGAGGAGTTTGGCATATAATCGAATAGTTGATGCCCTAAATGAATTCAGGTATGTATTCTCCAGCTTTTCATAATTTAGAGTTGTCTAGCAGTGTACGCAAGATTTATTTAGTTTCTTTAGCTTATTCTAATAAAATTTAATTTTTTTAATTTTGTCCCATGGCCAGATGAGGGTGTATACATCACTAGGCCATTGGGCTTTTATGTTATTAAATGTCAAATGGGCTAGGGATTCAGGCCCATTTGGGATTCATCAGTGGGATCGTTTTTAGTACCGAACCATTACACACAGCAAATATGAAGAGGAGATCCTCGTTCCAGCAGAAATGTGCTTTGTCTTCCCTGTTCGCTCCTAGAGACTGGTCAAGTGTACCACCAGTAGTTATTATCACCAGTACTTTATGTATCTGTTTTAGAAAAACTGGCTTCGTATTTGTTCATTGATGACTGAATGGTCTATATGGGCTCTGGGCTGATGGCTCGGAGCCTGGAGCCTGTTTCCGATTCTGTGTCTCCCTCTGTCTCTGCCCCTTCCCCGTTCATGCTCTGTCTCTCTCTGTCCCAAAAATAAATAAACGTTGAAAAATAAATAAATAAAAAATAAATAAATAAAAGGACTATCACATTTTGAAGTGAGAACCTGTTTTAGCTTGTGCTATTTCAGGATTGCTATGGTAAACTATAGGCATGTCACACACATACACATATACCCACATACCTTTTGTTAATGGAGATTACTAAGGGGTGGTGTATTTAGTAAATTTGACAGTAAGAAAAAATCTGTGTTTGTTTTCAACTTTTTTATTCTTCATTTTTCTCTTACTGTGTTAAAAGTAAACCACAGTGGAAGTGAATCTGGTTTCTTTGTTTTTTTAACCTCTCTCAAAATGAGAGACTTAATTGCCTGAACAATCTTTTGTATAATATTTGAAATTGAATTACAGATAACCATTAAATAGAAAATCATGGTAAAAATAACCTAACTAATATGGAATGTTTTATCATGTTTTGAATTTATTTAAATTGAGTATACTTTATAGCTGTTGTCTAGTAATCATCCACTGGTCTCAGCTACTGAGAAGGATAAAATTTTCTAGTCATTCATCTTTTATTTACCATAGTTTTTAGGATAAAAGGCATTAAAAGTGAGTTTAAATATCTTCCATTTTTGTTCATTAAATTCAGTGGTTAGGGAATGTGTAGAGAAAAATTAGAGAAATAAATTTCAACCTGTATTCTTTCTTTTTTTGTCTTAGAAGGAAATAACTTGCACAAGTGAAAATTATATTGGAGGTGATAGTTTTACTAATTTTTATATATATATATGTATATATACACACATACATATATATATGTACATACATATATATGTACATACATATATATATATATATACATATACATATATACATACATATATATATATATACATATATATATAAATGGTAACATACTAACATCTGATAGGAACAAAATCTGTGTCTTAGATCTCAGTTTGATTCTGATGCTTTCTTTGTCTTTTCAGACTGTGTTTATTGTCTTTTAGCAATTTTTTGTTGATACAATATGGTGGCAAGGTGCTGGGAATGGAGGAGGAAGTATTCTATAATCTTGTGGTTTAATCTTAGTTCTTTTTGGTGAGCTTGTTTTTAAGTAATATTTTCATGTAAGAATACAATGAATTGAAATAAAAAATGATTGATTTTGTTAAAACTCAAATTGATTTTGTTTGGAACTTAAAGTATATTAAAAACTTCCAATTAAAAAGAAAAATGCAGTGCTCAGCTGATCACTAGGCAAATGTAACAAAATGTTTCCCAGACTTGTGGAGTTTGAATCAGGAGGTCTAGAGCCTCGCATTTTTATTTCACAATCTGTGTGGAAATTACTAGGTTAAACTGTTTTCAGGGAAAGAAATTACCAAATCTGTACTACTACAATGTTAGGTATATTTGCAAGCCTTCATTGTCCAACCATACAGCAACTGCAGCTGTACAGTTCTGAGAAAGGATGTCATACTCCACATTTGAGAATATTATTTTGAAATAATGACTTTCTGGCCTTGGAAATTCTTGAGAGAGATTATGTGTGCTATGGGAGAAGTTCTTTTGTTTTATTGAAACCAAGACATGTTGAACATTGTAACCTGAAATATTATCAGCTGAGTACCATGGTTATTTATACATTTCTCCTGGTTTACGACAGCTTAGCTCTTCACACATTCCCTTGTAGCTCTGGTCATCTCTGTTTACAGAGCTGAAGAATTTTACTCTAACTGCATACTCAAAGAAATTCTAGAGTGATTTCTCTATGAGAAATCTGTAAAATATGCCTTTGTCATGAATATAAGTGGTTTTCAAGAAATATGAAAAGTTATAATCTTCTCAGTTTCTAAATTTAATCTGTAATTTGCTTGAAAGTTCACTCAAAGATTCTTAAGAGTTCTGCTTTTCCTGAAGTGGATACTATACCTTTAAAGTAAAAGAAAGGTGCTCTTAATGATTGGGTATTTTGTTAATAATTTTTAAAAATTTTTGTTTCAGTTGAGTTGTTCCGTTGACTTTAGACTGGAATTATTAAAAATATATGTTTGAACTGAACTTTTGCTTATTTGCCTAAACGAATCCTGTAATATTCTTTTTGAGTTTCACATTTTAACTATTACAAGGCAGTGTGAATCTTTGCCCTTGCACTAGAAACTGTTTCTTACATTATTGAATTGATAGTTTTTTCTCTGTAGTCACAAGCTTTGTGGAAAAAGGCCAACAGTCCCTATTTTAGGTCTGAGGAAACTCTGCCATTATCCAGAGGTTACCAGAATAGTAATATTGTTATAAGATTCATTCCTAGTAGAATACTGATCTTGCTCTTTGGTTATAAAAATTTTTATTCAAAACAATTTTAAATACCCGTGAGTTAATTGCTATATTATCGGGTAGTATGAAAGGCCTAGTCTTAGAATTTTAATATTGCCTAGAATTTACAGTATGTATGACTTATATAACCATTGAAAATGTAGGTCAGGACTGTATACCTTTCCTTTTGTATTAGTTTGATTATTTTACTTCAGTCACTGTACAGATATGAAAGTCTCTGTAAGCCAGTTAAGCATTCTTACAGAATCTTAAAAATACTTTATAAACTGTTGTAATTTTTGTTAGGTCTATCATTAGTACTTTAATATATACATTTAATCCTTGTTACATACAGATTGTACATTTGTGAATTCACCTACTTGCTGAAATTTATTTATGACCTCAAAATATACTCAGTGTTTTAATGATCATTTGTAACATGTGCAGAACAGTGAAAAAAAATAGAGTAGTCTGATACATTCCTAGATGAGGTTGAACAAGGCATTACTCTGCCTTCTTGTTTCAGCTCTCATTCTATAAACAAGTATCCTTTTTGCATCTATTTAAAGGCACTTTTTTTTTTTTCATTTTGTGCTTCTTGTTAGTGATTTTGCTCAGGGTTCCTGGGTGGCTCAGTCAGTTAAGCTTCCAACTTTGGCTCAGGTCATGATCTCACTGTTTGTGGGTTTGAGCCCCACGTCAGGCTCTGTGCTGAGAGCTCAGAGCTTGGAGCCTGCTTTGGATTCTGTGTCTCCCTCTCTAACTGCCCCTCTCCTGCTCACATTCTATCTCTTGAAAATAAACGTAAAAAAAAAAAAAAAAATCACCCTCGAGTGTACTGCTGAAATGCTGTCTAATGTTCCTAAGTGTAAGAAGGCAGTGATGTGCCTTACAGACAAAATACATGTAACCTTCATGAATACCTGAGTTACAGTGCTGTTGGCTGTGAATTCAATGTAAATGAATCAATAGTATATTAAATAAGGTATCTGTAAACAGAAACCCACATAAAACAAGGTTATGTATTGAAGGGCTGACAAAAATGTGATGAGAGACTCACAGGAACCTAACTATGTATTTTCCCTAGGTAAAGTGATTCATTGTTCACTAATTCATTGTTTGCATTGGCTTTACAGAACATTGCTGCAAATAATGAGAATCTGTCTTAATTTTTAAATTAAATGATTATTAAAAATTAATAGGTAGTTTTTAAAGTATGTGATTATTTGAGACCAGATGATTAATGAACTTGGGGTAGTTGGGAAGAGGAAGGAAATGATTCACATGCATGCAGAAGCCATGATACCTAGACAGACAAGAAGCATGTTTAGTTAGCAGAGTGATTTGGCAAAGTTGAGGTTCTTGGACTCTCACTTAGACTTTGTGCGTATCAAAGAAAACTAAATCACGCCCACAGTTTACTTCCACCTAAGGTAGTCTTTCATTCTTTAGGGACAGTCAGGAAAAATAAGGGGTCAGGTAACTAAAAATTCTTACCTTTCTTACCACTGAAAATTAGGGCATAATCATTAGGGGAGAGGAGAAGAAAGCACTATTATTTCTAGATTGCTAGTAACAACATAGAGTTGTGTATAATGAGAAGCTCCATTGCATAATTAATTTCTTTGCCTTCTTTGCATTTGATACACTCTGAGGTTGTAGTACCTAGTCTTAAGCATCAAAACATTAAAGCTAATGCCCTCAGTGGACCACTATACCAAGGTTAGTGATCTGGCTCTGCCCCATGACACATAGACTTGTAGTAGTCTCTAATATGCATAAGAAACTTATGGAAAATGAATCGATCAGCTCATTCATTCATTTATACAGTGTTTCTTTTCATCAGAAAGTACATTCACATGGTTAAAGACACAAAATATGCTGAGAAATCTAATAATGAAAAAGAAATGAACCATATCCTCTCTTTCCCATCCCCATTCTTAGTTCTCAAGAACACTCTGACCTATTTCTTTTATTTACCTCCACATTACTAAACAGTATACTTACTGTAGATATTTCTTGATTTATCAATTTTGGAGCATTTCTAATTCCTGCCATGAGTTTATACCTGCCTGTTGGCCCTTCAGCTTCAGTATAGCTCTAGCACTAGCTTGAGTTCTGGTAAATTTTCTACTTTCTTTGATTATTTATTTTCCTCTGTCTTCTCTGTCTTGAATTTCTTTTTGTTAGTAACTGGCATTCCTGAACTGACCTTTTATGTCTTTTTCATGTTTTCCTTTTTTTGAATGTATCATTTTCTATTTCCTCTGGAGTCATTTTGTGTGAGTGAGTGTGTGTTTCTGTTTTTCTGGTTGTGTCCTTCTCTCCTTGGAGGCTCTCCCTCTATATCAGGATTTGGGTTGCCCTTCCACAGCTGAGAGTGAAGCACTAAAATACAGGTTGGGAGTTCTGTACATAATTAGGCACAAACTGGAGAACTTTACTTTAAGGTGGTGGTTCTGAACCTGTTTTTATTATCACTTCCTGAAGGAGCATATATAAGACATTTTTTTCTCCTAATTGCTGTCCCTTCTTCCCATTAAATTTTAATATCACAAGATTCATTGTGTATCTATTTACATACTGTGAAATCTTCGAATATCGGTAAGGCTTTGAGCAAGGTTATTTCTCTGGGCTAGTCAGTTGCTACATCTGTTCTTCTAGTCTCTAGTCATTCTGTGGAAAAATAGGGGGTGCAGAAAGGGGTCATCAGCCATTTATGGACCTTGAATTAGTCTCCCTGTTTACAGTCCTCTATAACTCCTGTCCTAACTTTACCAGGCATTTGTCAGTCTCGAGCCTCTTCTTGTTTTGCATTGGAGGAGATTAGCTATGTATGTGTCCCCTTCTGTGAGCACTGTAACCCATATCATCATCTACCTTAACACTTCACTTAACATTCCTTTCTGTGTTTTATGTTCTAGAATTTTATTACATGTATAATTTAAATTTTAAGTCCGATTATTCCCCATTTTTATTTGCTATAGTAATTTATCTGTTGGGGCGCCTGGGTGGCTCAGTCAGTTAAGCTTCTGACTTCAGCTCAGGTCATGATCTTGCAGTCTGTGAGCTCAAGCCCTGTGTCAGGCTCTGTGCTGACAGCTCAGAGCCTGGAGCCTGCTTCAGATTCTGTGTTTCTGTCTTTCTCTGCCCCTCCCTTGCTTCATACTCTTGTCACTCTCTCAAAAATAAACAAACAGTTAGGGGCGCCTGGGTGGCGCAGTCGGTTGAGCGTCCGACTTCAGCCAGGTCACGATCTCGCGGTCCGTGAGTTCGAGCCCCGCGTCGGGCTCTGGGCTGATGGCTCAGAGCCTGGAGCCTGTTTCCGATTCTGTGTCTCCCTCTCTCTCTGCCCCTCCCCCGTTCATGCTCTGTCTCTCTCTGTCCCAAAAATAAATAAACGTTGAAAAAAAAATTAAAAAAAAAAATAAACAAACAGTTAAAAAGATTTTTTTTAATCTGTCTTCGGATCCTTAACGGGTGTTCATTTGGGACCTCAGAACTGAACGGGATAAACATTGGTGCTCACTTTTCCATCTTACCTGGACATCCTTAATAGGCTTTAAAAATAAACATTTTCAGCTATTCCTAGTTTATATTTGAATCATATTTTTCTCTGTAAAATGCCTTTAATTCTTTTCCATTTGTTTATTTTCAAGTTCTCAGCCATGATATTATGCCCTACCAAGAACTCATTAATGTGACCTGTGTTTGTCACTTTTATCCATTGTAATATATTGTGTTCATGCTGGGTCAAGATTCAGTAAAATTTATACAGGCAAGATAATTCTTTTCCTTTTTTTGGGTTCTAGGTGTTAGAGAATTATGCTTGGGGTGCTTGGGTGGCTCAGTAGGTTTAGCGTCTGACTTCAGCTCAGGTCATGATCTCACCGTTTGTGAGTTTGAGACCTGCGTTGGGGCTCTGTGCTGACACTGTGGAGCCTGGAACCTGCTTTGAGTTCTATGTCTCCTTCTCTCTCTGCCCCTCCCCCACTCTCTTGTGTGCACTCTCTCAAAAATAAACATTAAAAAAATTAAAAAAAATAAAGAATTATGCTGAAGTAGGTATTAGACCTATGGAGATCTCAGATAACTTTCTAGAGTTGTACTTTCTAATATAGTAGCCATTAGCCACATGTGGATACTTGAATTGTTTTTTGGTACTTAATTTAAATAAAATTAAAGTTAAAATCAATTAGTCATAGTGACCACATTTTAAGTGTTAAGTAATCACATATGACTAGTGGGTGCCATCTTGGACAGCACAGATACAGAACATTCCCATCACTGTGGAAAAAAAGGTTCTATCACATAGCACTGTTCTAGAGAGTAGAAAGTAGGACACAGTTCTGTATCTTCCAAAAGATCAACTAGTTTCTTAAGCCTCAGCTTTGTAGCATTTGCTTAATCTGAGTGTATAGGACTTGGCTGAATAGACATTAATGTGGAAGTAAAATGATTAATATTTTAAAGGTGTCCTTGAAGCCTTAAGGAGAGAGTGTAATTCATGGGTCTAGCTGTTGTCTAAGTAAATGCAAGAGAGAGCCAGAAAAGCGTCATCATAATTGTGCAATAATGCTTTCTTCTGTTGATTCAAGGAAAAACATCAGAAGATTGAGAGTCATAAAATACAGAGTGCAGATATAGTGTCCTTAGAACTTTACTAAAGAGTCTCAGCATAGGCAACAAAATGATGCCAATAAACTATTGTTTTGAGTGGGTGTATGGATAAGCTATTATCCAATACAGAATATTTTTCTCCTCTAGGTTGTTGATTATTTGCATTATATTTAAGTATGGCATATACCTTACAAACGAAGAACTGGAAGGGCTTTAGAAATTATCTGGTTCTATACTTTCATTTTTATGGGTGGCAGAAACTGATGCCTAAAGTAGGGAAGTAATTTACCCAAGAGCACACAGTCATCAGGGGCAGAGACTGCATCAGAACCATCATATATTGAGTTCATGTGCAGAGCATTCCTGTGTTACTATGCTGGTGACAAAGAAGGAATGACTTGATTGATTTTGTCCTTTTGAAAGTTTTTATAATCTACCTGTGAGGCCCAACCTGACAATATAAACTTTAAGAGTATGTAGTTCTGGGAACTATGAATTTCATAACGTGTTTTCCTCTTTTTAGAACAACAATTTGTAATCTTTATACAATGCCACGAATTGGAGAGCCTGTCTGGCTTACAATGATGTCGGGGACTCCAGAAAAGAACCAGCTTTGCCATCGTTTCATGAAGGAGTTCACATTTCTAATGGAAAATGCTTCCAAAAATCAGTATGGCTTTCTCTCTTTCTTTTTGTATATCTATCTTAGTTATTATTTACTATAACGTGATTATCTATATTTTGATCAAACTCAGTTACAAAAGTGAAATAATTAACTGTTATCCTTGGAATTATTTCATATTATTAATAACCAAAACTGAATTCCAAAAGATAGTTAAGAGATAGGGTATGGAGTGCCCTGCATGGCTCAGTTGGTTAAGCGTCCGACTTTAGCTCAGGTCATGATCTCATGGTTTGTGAGTTCGAGCCCCACATGGGGCTGCTGTCACCTTGGAGCCTGCTTCAGATCCTCTGTCTCCCCCTCTCGCTGCCCCTCCCCGGCTTGTGCTTTCTTTCTGAAAAATAAACATTTTTTAAATATTAAAAAAAGAGATAAGATATAGAAGTCCACAGAATATTATGAATGAAAAACTGTAAAAAGATCTTTAATTATGTGTTAACTTAAGGACTTAAAGTTCTGACAATTTAACAATTCTCTGCGGCTTCCCATTTTTCAGTGAGTCGTATCCACTTACAGTTTCATTCTATAGAAAATAAGTAAAACAAACAAACAAACAAAAAAAACCCAAAACAAAACAAAAACAAACGAAGTGCCAGGATTCCAGTGATACATATTTAATGTGATCTTTTATCATACTTTTTTCTTCTAACCATTACATCAGATTCCTAGAATCCAGATGAATAATTTAGATGTTTTATTCTTTTAGATGGTAGACAAAGTTTGCTTAAAATGTTCCTTCATTTTCCTATTCAGTAATATGGAAATATATAGACTTGTTGGTTGATTCATTAATTTTGCAGAAACTAGTTTTTGAAGTAAAATGGTAGTTTTGTTTTGTAATTATGATCAGAAATAGCCCTGTGTGAATATTGCTTTTATTTCAAGGATTTTTTTTTAACCCCTACCCAACCAAAAACCTTGTTAATATTTATTTTCATCCAGGTGATATATCTTTTCTTTTTCTTTTCTTCTTTCCTCTCCTTTTTTAATGCTGTTTGGCTACATGAGAATATATAGTCTCTTTACTTTATTCTCTTGCTGCATTTTACGTTAGGTCTAATGAAGGCAATTTGGAATATGATAGCTATGTTTTTGTTTTCAGATTCTTGCCAGCACTCATTACTGCAGTTCTGACCAATCATCTTGCCTGGGTTCCAACAGTCATGCCAAATGGACAACCACCTATAAAAATATTTTTAGAAAAACATTCCTCTCAGAGTGTGGACATGTTGGCAAAGACTCATCCATATAACCCACTTTGGGCACAACTAGGTATGTCTGAAAACCCTTACATTATGCATAATACTTAGACTTTTGTGTAACTGTCTGGAGTTACTTTATAGCAAAAACAAAAATAAAGAAATAAGATGTTCTCTTTTACCTCCTCCATTCTAAAGCACTTCTTTACTTGTCCTTTCATGTCTGTGAGGGCAGGCTGAGGGTGGCTCAGTTGGTTAAGCATCTGACTTCAGCTCAGGTCATGATTTCGCGGTCCGGGAGTTTGAGCCCTGTGTCAGGCCCTGTGCTGACAGCTCAGAGCCTGGAGCCTGTTTTGGATTTTATGTCTTCCTCTCTTTCTTCCTCTCCCCTACTTACGCTCTGTCAGTCAAAAATGAATAAATGTTTAAAAAATTTTTTTAAAAAAGGACAGGCTGTGAGTTAGGCAGACCACATTTGGATTGTAGTCTCTTTGTTTACAAATTGGGGATAATAATAATAGATAGTACATACTTCATAAAGATGTGGAAATTAAATAAAATAATATGTGTAAAGTGCTTAGAACAGTGTGAGGTAAATGTGGCTGCTGTTACTCCTGCTCTTACTCTATTGCTGTTAGGGCATGGGGGAGGAGTCCAATGAGAACATTTTGATGACTTGGTAGAAACTTCCCTTAGGTTGTGTTGATGAGTGAGCTTGTCAGGCAGGTGGTCATGTAACTTATTCATGTAACTTTCCTTCTTTTCTCTTTCTTCCCTCTCTTCCTTCTTCCTTTACTTTCATCTAGTTAATCGTGGAATAATTGACATACAGCCAACACATGTATAAAACACACAATTTTGTAAGTTTTGATATATATGTCAAAATATGAATGCCTCTGAAACCATTACCAAAATGAGGATGATAAACATACCCATCGCTTCCAAAAGTTTCCTCATGTAATCTCTCCCTCCTTTCCCTACCTACTCTCCCTATTCACCTTCCTTTCCATACCCAGGCAGCTGTTGGTCTGCTTTCTGTCACCATAGATTACTTATTACTTTGCAATTCTAGATATAAATGGAATCATACAGTACATGGTTTTTTTTCTGTCTGACTTTTTTCATTCAACATAATTACTTTGAGATTCACCTATGTTGTATATATTCATAGTCAATCCCTTTGTTATGCTAGGTAGTATTCCATTATATGGATATTAACTTTTTTCAAATCAAGTATTCAGTGGTATTTTTTTATTTGGACATATCAAATTTATTTTCAACGTTTTTTTTTTTTTATTTTTTTTATTTTTGGGACAGAGAGAGACGGAGCATGACGGGGGAGGGGCAGAGAGAGAGGGAGACACAGAATCGGAAACAGGCTCCAGGCTCTGAGCCATCAGCCCAGAGCCCGACGCGGGGCTCGAACTCACGGACCGCGAGATCGTGACCTGGCTGAAGTCGGACGCTTAACCGACTGCGCCACCCAGGCGCCCCTCAAATTTATTTTCAATTCTACAATCACTTATTGAGTGCGTGATATATGTAAGGTCCTGTGCAAAGAATATTGGGGGGTATAAAAGGTGAAATGTAGTTCTTGGTATCAAGAAGTGGATAGTTTATTGCTGAAGGTAATAAATAGAACAATAATAATAACAATGACAAATTATTGTCAACAAATATGGGGATAATTCAAAGAGGAACTGTAAGAGAAATGAAAAGTTGAGTGAGAGTTCAGTTATGGAAGTTTACTTTTGCCCAAGAGAGGATGCTTGGGTGGAAAGCTTTGGAGTGGCAGAGATAACAGGGGAAATGGTAAGTACATAGCATGAGGAAAAGGGGTCTTCATGTTAAAAGTGCTGAGTAGAATGAGTGTTTCATTTTATGTAGTTTGCTTTAAGTGGGACTTGTGTGAATAATGATGAAAAAGGGTAACTATAAGAAAATAAACCTAGAAAAGTAAAGTAGAACCAGTCATGAAAGTCTCATTTACCATGTCAGAACAGTTCAGTTTATTTGGTAATTTGTGGGAACCTTAGGAGTAGTTTTGAATAGTGGCATGATGGCATTAGAGCCAGTGTATTAACCAGAGGGGAAGAATTGTCATTATATTGTTTATAGCATATATTTATTTGAGACCTGTTTAAGTTTAAACAATGTAGAGGTTAAGTTTTAAAGTGTATATGCAAACAACATGCTAAAATTGAATTAAATTTAAATTAATGACTGTATTCTCAATTTTTAAGTGTACTTTGGCAACTGTGTCTTCTAATTTGAGCTATAGCATAAATACAGAAATTTATATTGATGACTCTTAGGTTCCCCTCCTCCACTTTTTTATGTAATGGCTGTTTATGTCTCACATGGATGTAAAAGTGAAAATGAACTACATGGCTAAATGTGTTGCCCTTTCTTTTCCTCTTCGATAGGTCTCACTCTTCTGGTCCTTTCTGGCCTTTTCTGAGTACTCAACCCTTTAGGAAATGGAAGGGGAAATGGGCTTTTAAAAAGCTAGTTTTGGGTCCTTGGTAGGGCAATAAAAGTTACTGTTCACGGATGTGATTTAAATCAAGAAAGATCAGATATGTGATGTGACTACTCCAGTTCTGCTCCATTCTACCGTTGCTTCCTTTTCTCCTTGCCCCCCAGTAGAGGTTTTGCTTTTTCTTCTCTGCTTTGAGTGCAGCTATAGAATCCTTTTGCACATAGTCCTTAGGTAGAGCTTCTCTATCCCACTGAAGTGCTCTGTGTGAGGACTGGCACCGAGAATATTCTTGATAAATGTGAGTGTAACAATGGACTCTTTGGTTGAAGTTTCAGAACCAGTAGCTGCCTAAGGAGGAATCTGGAAAACCTCTCTGTTCACCTTTCTCTTTGGCTAACAAAGAGATTCATTCATCTTATCATATCCTCCTGAATAGTCACTCACGTATGAAAGAACTAAGAATAAAACCTGAGCTAGCCCTCATACAATAAGATTAGCTTTCTGATCATTGAAAATAGCCTGCTTAGTTAGCTACATGAATAGACGATGTGTCCATTAACTGGTTTTTCCATTTCAGGGGACTTGTATGGCGCTATTGGCTCTCCTGTACGGTTGGCAAGGACTGTAGTGGTTGGCAAACGACAAGACATGGTCCAGAGGCTGCTTTATTTTCTTACTTATTTTATAAGATGCTCTGAACTTCAAGAAACCCATCTTTTAGAAAATGGAGAAGATGAAGCCATCGTTATGCCAGGCACTGTAATTACTACCACTTTGGAGAAAGGTGAAATAGAAGAATCTGAGTATGTGCTTATCACAATGCACAGAAACAAAAGCAGTTTGCTCTTTAAAGATCCAGAAGAAACAAGGACTCCTAATTGTAACTGTAAATATTGCAGTCGTCCACTCCTGGGACAAAATATGGAGAATGTTTCACAACAAGAGACAGAAGAGATTCAAAACAGCTCTAAGGAGCTACTAGGAATTTCAGATGAGTGCCGTATGATTTCTCCCTCTGACTGCCAAGAAGAAAATGCTGTTGATGTTAAACAGTTCAGAGATAAATTAAGAACTTGCCTTGACACCAAGTTGGAGACCGTTGTTTGCACAGGATCTGCTCCAGTAGACAAATGTGCCTTGTCAAAATCAGGCTTAGAGCCAGCAGAGGAAACATGGCATAATGAGGAATTGCTGGGTTCAGGTAATCACACAGGCAAAGTGTTGAGATCCACGGGAATGGTTGTGGAAAAAAAACCTCCAGATAAGCTTGTGACTGCTGCATTTTCTTGTGAAGCATCCCAGACAAAGGTTACTTTCTTAATTGGAGATTCTATGTCACCTGACTCAGATACTGAACTCAGGAGTCAGGCAGTGGTGGATCAGATTACCAGGCACCACACCAAGCCACTGAAGGAAGAAGGAGAGGCTGTTGTTGATCAGCAGCATCAAGAAACTAAACAAACAACTAAGGACCAATCCGGAGAGTCTCCTATACCAAACGTAGTTTCCGGAGAGCCCTGTGAACTTCCCTGTTGGAATCATTCAGACCTAGAAAGCATGAGCTTATTTGATGAATATTTTAATGATGATTCAATTGAAACTAGGACTATTGATGATATTATTGCAGTTAAAACAAGTACAGACAGTAAAGAACACTGCTGTATGTTAGAATTTTCAAAAGGATTGTGTACTACAAATAGCAAACAGAACAGTGAATTTTGTAAATGTGTAGAAACAGTTCACCAAGATTCATGTAAAACCTGCTTTCCTCAGCAGGACCAAAGAGATAAACTCTCCATTCTTGTCCCCCATGGGGATAAAGAGACTTCAGAGAAAAAAATTGCTATAGGAACTGAATGGGACATTCCAAGGAATGAAAGTTCAGATAGTGCCCTTGGGGATAGTGAAAGTGAAGATGCAGGTCATGATATGACTAGACAAGTAAGCAGTTATTATGGAGGAGAGCAAGAAGATTGGGCAGAAGAAGATGAGATACCTTTTCCTGGGTGAGTAAGAAGTTTTAACCTATAATAGACTCCCTCTAAATATGTACCATTCTTTTGTTTAGTTGGTCTTTAATATAAAAGAAGAGATCATTGTCCTGGACAGATTTTCTTTTATTATCATGTGCTCTTACTCATAGGAAAGATTAAAGGCTAAGCCCTCCAGGCACCCCAGAAAGGCTCAATGAAGGCATTAAAGACAAGTATATTTGTGTGTGGGAAATTCTTTACTGCTTAGGAGTTTTCAAGCCATTAAAGAATGAATTATGCCCCCAAATATATGCTGAGCCCAGCAACTAGAGAGAGGTAATAACGGAGAAGGTGGGAAATGGTTATTGGAAATAAACTTGGCCAAGACTAAAAGGAAAAACAGGGAATGATACTCTCAGTCAAATATACAAGGAGTAGATTTGTATTTGAGAAATGTTATATTCCAAGCTTTGGGTTTGTGATGTATTTAACTACTTTGTTTTGAATGATGGTTTTCATTTTCTGATTGTATTAAGAATGTATTACATACCAAAGGGACAGCATTCCTGATGACTGTTAAGAAAGTTTTATACTTACCTCCTTACATAGCTGTTCATCTACCCTCTTTTCTTGATAGGAAGGAGTACTTTGTGATCTGATTGATCACTTAGGCCAGTTTTTACTTAACGATGATTTTACTCTGTATTTTATAGAAAATGATGGTACTAGAAATATGGAGTAGTAGAGTCCAAGAAGTTTTTTATTGATACAATATGTTTGTTACTAATTAGATATGCCTTCTTTTGGGACTTTTCTTCCAGGTCAAAGTTAATTGAAGTGAGTGCTGTTCAGCCCAACATTGCCAACTTTGGGAGGTCCTTGTTGGGTGGCTACTGCTCATCTTATGTGCCTGATTTTGTTCTTCAAGGAATTGGTAGTGATGAGAGGCTCCGTCAGTGTCTGGTGTCAGATTTGTCTCATGCTGTGCAGGTGAGTTACCTTCCCTGCTCTTGAATGTATTTAGAATGAACTTTGTTTACTGACAGAACCCCAAATTATCTTGTATTTTTGGTCATACTTTACTATGTACCAGTCACTGTACTCTGAATCTGTCACTTTTGCACCTGCATGTTTGTGCCTGTCACCATGAAAGCAAGTAGAGAGTTTCAGGAATCTATGCAAACAGAAATGTGAAATACGGAGAGTATTATATATATTCATGGATGTTCATCATCAGATCATTTATGGTATCAAAAAAATTGTAAATGCTTAAATGTGAATGCAGTTATTTTCTTAATTTCATTTTCAGATTGTTCATTGCTTGTATATAGAAGTACATTTGATTTTTGGGGCGCCTGGGTGTCTTAGTCGGTTAAGCGTCCGACTTCAGCCAGGTCACGATCTCGCGGTCCGGGAGTTCGAGTCCCGCGTCAGGCTCTGGGCTGATGGCTCGGAGCCTGGAGCCTGTTTCCGATTCTGTGTCTCCCTCTCTCTCTCTGCCCCTCCCCCGTTCATGCTCTGTCTCTCTCTGTCCCAAAAATAAATAAACGTTGAAAAAAAAAATTTAAAAAAAAAAAATAAAAAAAAAAAAGAAGTACATTTGATTTTTGTATATTGATCTTACATTCATCTGCCCTGCTGAACTCATTTATTCGTTAGTAAAGTTTTGTGTCTGGATTCCTTAGGTTTTTCTACATATAGGTTCATGTCATCAATGAATAGACAGTTTTACATTTTCCTTTCCCATGTGGATACACTGTCTTTCTTGCCTGATTTTACAGCCTAGAACCTTCACTAGAGTTGCATAGAAGTGCTGATAGTGGACAGACTTGTCTTTTTCCTGATATTAGGGGAAAACATCAAGTCTTTCATTGTTTAGTATGATGTTAGCTGTAGGATTCTTATAGATGCCCTTTATCAGATGGAAAAAGTTTCCTCCTATTCCTAGTTTTTTCATCCCCCCCCCACCTTTAAATGATCATTTGGTTTTCTTCTTTAAACTGTTAATGTGATAGATTACATTGATTGATTTTTAGATGTTAACCAACTCTTGTATTCCTGGGAAAAAAATTCCATATAGTTCTTTTATATATTACTGGATATGATTTGCTAACATTTTGTTATGGATTTTGGAATCTGTATTCATGAGGGATATTAGTCTGTAGTTTTGTTGTGATATATTTGCATAGCTTTAATATCAGAATAATACTTGCCTTATGGAATGAGGTGGGACATATTCCTTTCTCTGTTTCCTGGAAGAGTTTCTGGAGAATTGGTATTATTTTTTTCTCCAAATGTTTGATAGGATTCACCTGTGAAGTAATTTGGACCTGGACTTTGTAAAATAAGAATTTTTAAATTACTGATTCAACTTCTTGTTCCAGATCTATTCCAATTTTCTATTTCTTCCTGAGTCAATTTTGATAATTTTTGTCTTTCTAGGAATTATTTACATTTAAGTGATCTGATTTATTAGTTGGGATAAGATGGTTCATATCCCCCTTCTTTCATTCCTGATTCTTACAATCTGTGTTTTTCCTTTTTTTTTCCCCTCCTGAAAGTGGAATATTCCAAAGAAGAGTTCATTCATGGCTTGACTTCCTAATAGTTATTTTGGGCCCTTATGTATCAAAGATGAATAGGCTGTGGCCCATGGGACAATAGGCTTGTTACATTGGAACATGACCACACCCATTTATATATTCTGTGACTGTTTTCTTGCTTCACCGGCAGAGTTGAGTCATTGAAACAGAGACCTTATAGTCCTTAAAGCCTAAAATATTTTGTCTTGTTCTTTATAGAAAAAGTTTGCTGATTCCTTATCCTTGTGTGTTAATTTTGTTCAACTTTTGTTTTCACTGAGTTTTCTCTTTTTCTGTCTTTTGTTTCATTGTTTCCTATCCTAATCTTTATTATTGCTTCCCTCTGCTTGCTGTGAATTTAGTTTGCTCTTTTTTATTAAGGTGGAAGCTTAGGTTATTAATTTGAAGCATTCTTTCTTTTCAAATGTATGCATTTAGCTCTAAATTGTCCTCTGAACACTACTTTACCCAAAGTTCATAGATTTTGACATGTTATTTTTGTTTTCATTCACTTCAAAATATTTTCAAATTTGTCTTCCCATTTCTTTGACCCAGGGGTTATGTAGAAGTATGTTTTTAATCCCCATATATTTGTAGAATTCTTAAATTTCCTTTTCTTGATTCCTAAATTAGTTCCATTGTGGTCAGAGAACAAACGTTGTATGATTTTAGTCCTTTTAAATTTATTGAGTCTTGTTTTATGGCCCAGCATGTGGTGTATCCTGTTCCATGCGTAGTTGAAAAAAACAGTCAGCTGTTGTTGGGCACAGTGTACTATAGATGTCCAGTCAAGTTGGTTGGTGGCTTATTTAGGTTTCTACGTCCTTGCTGATTTTGTCTAGTTGTTCCATTGTTTAGTGAGCATGGAGTATTGAAGTCTCCACCTTTGTTGAATTTTCTGTTTCTTTCTTTAATCCCATGTATCACTCTAATAAATTTTTTTTAACAAAACCTTTCCCCTTTCCCCTGCGAGAACAACAGCAACAAGGAATAGAGAAAGTCAACGGGGAAATCATGAGTGAGAAAATATGGCTCAGTGAGCAAGCAGTCCTTTAATTATTAGCCAGAAAGGTTTAAACCTGTTGTGTTGGTAGTAAATTACCTAAAGTTGTAAACTTTGGTGTTTTATTATATAGTAGGGAAATTATGAAAAATCTAGATAAAAACAAAATTTGAAAGAAAACTTATCAAGACTTGTTTTTTTAATTAATTAATTTATTTTGAGAGAAAGAGAGAGAGAGAGTGTGTGTGTGTGTGTGTGTGTGTGTGTGTGTGTGTGTGTAAGCGAGGGAGGGACAGAGGAGAGAGAGAATCCCAAGCAGGCTCTGCACTGTTAGCTCAGAGCCCGACATGGGGCTTGCTCCCACAAATTGTGAGATCATGACCTGAGCTGAAATCAAGAGTCAGACACCCAACGAACTGAGCCACCCAGGCACCCCAAAACTCATGTTCTTCATATTTAAAAGCCATCTTGCTCAAACCTTTAACACCAATCAGATAAATGTTTATTGACATACTATGTTCTGAACGTGGTGCGAATAGTCCATGGGATATATAGATGAAAAAGAAATAGCTTCTGATCTCAAGTTATTTACTCACTCTCAAGTTAGGGAAGTATATGAATAAGTGTAGTATAATACATAAAAAAATACATGCCTGAGAAAGATAATAAAAAGTAATTTAATGCTTTACAGGAAACAATTTATATCAGTTAGTGGTGTTTGTCCTTCAGAGTACAGCCTCCATTTCTGGTTTTTGGGTTTTTTTGTTTCACTTCTGTCCTCCTGCTGCTGATGTAGTATGTAGTAAACATTTGTTGAAATACTTGGTTAGGAAATCCAATGTGGATCCTTCTAATGCACTGTGTCCTCTTGTCTTTATGTCTTATCTTAGTTATTCAGTCTCTTTTTTCCCTTCATCTGTACCCATTAGCACACACTGTGTACTTTGATACTGTCTCTGGAAGCCTCGCTTTGGAAGAGGTGACTGTCTCCTATTGAAAACAAAACATTTCCATTTTAAGGGATTTACCTTAGGAAGAGAAGGAATATTAATAGTAATAAGCAGTTTTTATTGTAGCCTTAATATGTGCGAGGGACTTAAATGTAATACCTCACCTAATTTTATGGTAATAATTTTACGATACTTATTTTTATCATTCGTATATTTCAGACATAGCACAGAGAGTTACATTAGATAGGGAATGGCAGAGCTAGAAGTTAGTCCTGATCTGCCTTTAGTAATGCTTTTAAGCTTCTGTGCTTAATACATACAAAACACTGGGTCACCTGGGTGGCTCAGTTAGTTAAGCCTCCAACTCTTGATTTCTGTTCAGGTCATGGTCTCATGGTGTATGAGTTCAAGCCCTGTGTCAGGTTCTGTGCTGACAGTGCAGAGCCTGTTTAGGATTCTCTCTCTCCCTCTCTCTCTCTGTGCCCTTCACTCTGCACATGTGTGCTGTCTCTCTTTCTCAAAATGAATAAACTTTAAAAAAGAATACACACACACACACACACACACACACACACACACACACACACACACAGACAAAACACCATCCCTGAAACATACCATCTCTAAAACAGATGTACGAAGTTAATGCAAATAAAACAGCAAATTGGCATTACAAAAACAAAGCTTACAAGACTTTTATTCTTAGCGGTCGTACTTCTGTTGCTCTTGGAGTCATTCCACTGTGGTGTAAAAAGTAAGCTTTCTGTCTTCTGCCCTCTCCTTATATTTTCATTTAGTTATAGTTTATAGTCTTTTCTTCTTATATTTTCATTTAGTTATAGAAGATATTTTATTATCAAAGCAGATTACAGTAAAAGTTTTTTAAATTTATTTATTTTGAGAGAGAGAGAGAGAGAGAGCATGTGCAAGAGGGGGAGGGGCAGAGAGAGAGAGTCCCTGAGCTGTCATTGCAGAGCCTGCCATGGGGCTCAGTCCCACAAACCCAGAGACTATGACCTGAGAGCTGAAATGAAGAGTTGGATGCTTAACGAACTGAGCCATCCAGGTGCCCCAGATTACAGAAAATTTAATGAGGAAGTGAAAACTAAAATACTAAACTTAATCTCAGAATTAAGAGATTGAATCTTCTGTCATTCATTTTTCTGTATTCATGTTTAAGGTTTATATTTGATGGTTTTAATTACTGTGTGCTTATAATTTATCAACATTACATTTAACATGAGAATGATTTCTCATGCACCTATATGGAAAACCATGTAGGAGTTTTTAATACATAAATCATGAGGATAGTACTTAAAAAACAATACAGTCTTATTCTTCTGAACTATATCGTGGAGTGTCTTTTCTTTTTCTCCTCACTTTCTAAGAAAGAGGCATTTTTCTCATTACCAAATCAATGTATATTTACTATATATAAAATACTGAAATATGTAG